AACCTCAGTGCTAACCACAATGCTAATGTCGGTGTTCCTCACAGAAGCTAGAAAGCTAACCTCAGCGCTGACCACAATGCTAATGTCGGTGTTCCTCACAGAAGCTAGAAAGCTAACCTCAGCGCTGACCACAATGCTAACACCAGTGCTCCTCACAGAAACTAAAAAGCTAACCTCAGCGCTGACCACAATGCTAATGCCAGTGCTCCTCACAGAAGCTAGAAAGCTAACCTCAGCGCTAACCACAATTGTTGAATCCTGTCTGAATCCTGTGTTTTCCCCCCAGTGAATGGAGAGGCTTCAGCCCTCACTTCTGACGTGGCTCCCGCCATCACAGAAGCTCTTGCCCCTACCAGTGACTTGGAGCAGAGCGGTGATGCCCCCCCCTCCGATTCCTCTCCCAGCATTGCCCCTGCCCCTGCCCCTGCCCCATCTCCTGCCCCTGACCCTGACCCTGACCCTCACCCCGATCCCTCCCCTGCTCCTGTGTCTGCTCCGGAGGAGTCCTCCCAGACACCCGCCATCAGTGCTGCCCCCCTTACCACCTCCTCCCCCTCCTCCTCCTCCTCCACACCTGCTGCGGAGGCCCGCAGCACCAGTCCCAGTACGCATGACGGAGGCAAGCCCAAGCAACAGTCCAGTAGCTCCAGTTCTGCTGGGCCCCTTCCCCCTGGGTGAGTTGGCCTGTGGCTCCTCCCACCTGGTTGTTTTTGGCACAGGCCCCGCCCCTTGGATAATGCCCCATACCTGCCCCCCCAGTACTAACCGTGTTGGAAGGTGCTCAGTGAGTAGCAAGCATCCTGACCTGTTCCAGTTCAATCCCGCCGCATTCCTGACGACTGTGTTAAACGCTGTCGCTCGACTCTCTAGATGGGAGCAGAGGAAAGACATTCATGGTAGGACCTACTACGTGGATCACAACACCAGAACCACAACGTGGGAGAGACCCCAACCCCTACCATCTGGGTGAGTGCTGTGCCACGCTCCAACACATCCTGCCTTGATTCACGCATTTGTCTGACCTCTGAAACATGATTGATTGGATGGGTGTGATGTCACCTCAGGTGGGAGCGCCGCGTGGACGACCGGGGCCGCATGTACTACGTGGACCACAACACCCGCACCACCACTTGGCAGAGGCCCACCATGGAGTCTGTCCGCAACTTCGAGCAGTGGCAGTCGCAACGGAGCCAGTTACAGGGAGCTATGCACCAGTTCAACCAGNAGTCTGTCCGCAACTTCGAGCAGTGGCAGTCGCAACGGAGCCAGTTACAGGGAGCTATGCACCAGTTCAACCAGAGATACCTCTACTCGGTAACGGCGTGGCACCTCCCGCCTGCCCCCATCATGCCCGGCATGTAAAACCGCCAGCTAAGTGGCTTTAATGATGCCTTTGTGTTCCTGGGCAGGCCTCGATGATGTCAGCAGAAAACGATCCTCTGGGTCCTCTCCCTCCCGGCTGGGGTGAGTTTCCATCTCTTTCTTGTAATGGCTTCATTATTTTTGTTTTTTTGTGAGCCCACCCCCCCACATGCACACTTTGTCAATGCCCCCCCCCCCCCCAGAGAGGCGCGTGGACTCCAACGACAGAGTGTACTTTGTCAACCACAACACTAAGACGACGCAGTGGGAGGACCCGCGGACGCAGGGGTGAGTGTGACATCACCGTGACGCCGCCTCTTGCCGTTATTGGCCACGCCCCCTCACTTGCTACCCACCCACCCGCTGCAGGCTGCAGAATGAGGACCCGCTGCCCGAGGGCTGGGAGATTCGCTACACACGCGAGGGCGTCCGCTACTTCGTGGATCACAACACTCGCACCACCACCTTCAACGACCCGCGCACGGGCAAGTCGTCCGTGTAAGTCTGGGCCGCTGTGGGCCCAACCGGCACCTGGGGGTGGGGGGGGCTCCTATTCATACCGCGTTCCTGACGCGTCTGCTCCGATTTCAGAACCAAAGGTCCGCAGATCGCCTATGAGCGCAGCTTCAGGTGGAAGTTGGCCCATTTTCGCTACCTGTGTCAGGTGTGTACCCCCCCCCCCCCTCCCCCACCACACTCCCCGCTTTCATTTCCTCCTTTTGTGTTCTCACTGTTTCATCTTTTCTTCACCTGTCTCAGTCGAACGCCCTTCCCAGCCACGTCAAGATCACTGTGTCCCGGCAGACTCTGTTTGAGGATTCCTTCCAACAGGTGTGTTTGTTTCCAGTTCTAGACGGTCCTTCTCTCTCTCTCTCTCTCTCTCTCTCTCTCACACTCCCTTTCTCGTTTACACCCCTGTGTCCTTCCAGATCATGGCCCTCAAACCGTACGACCTGCGGAGGAGGCTGTACGTCATATTCAGGGGGGAGGAGGGACTTGACTACGGTGGCCTGGCGAGGTCAGATTGCGCCTGTCACTGCACCTGCCATGTTGCAATTTCATTCCTTCTCGCTGGCATTGAACCTTGCGCCCCCCCTTCCCCAGGGAGTGGTTCTTCCTTCTGTCCCACGAGGTCCTGAACCCCATGTACTGCCTGTTCGAGTACGCCGGAAAGAGCAATTACTGCCTGCAGATCAACCCGGCCTCGGCCATCAACCCCGACCACCTGTCCTACTTCAACTTCATCGGCCGCTTCATCGCCATGGCGAGTGACTCGCGCACCGTCACACGAGCATGCGGTCTGCCCAGGCCCCGGTTGGCAGTATGGTGCCCCCCCTGGACCCATCACTGAAGACCTGTCTCTTCCACAGGCTCTCTTTCATGGCAAGTTCATTGACACAGGCTTCTCCCTGCCCTTCTACAAGCGCATGCTTAACAAGAAGCTGACCATCAAGGACCTGGAGTCCATCGACCCGGAGTTCTACAACTCGCTCATCTGGATTAGGTACCTTGCCGGGTGGGTTCTGTCACCCGTGTGCGGCCAGACCTGTGGTCTAATACATCCTGTATGATCCTGCTCACTCAGAGATAACAACATCGAGGAGTGCGGCCTGGAGATGTACTTCTCTGTAGACATGGAAATCCTGGGCAAGATTACCTCACATGACCTGAAACCGGATGGAGCTGATCTGCTGGTGACGGAGGAGAACAAAGAGGAGTACATCGGGTGAGAAGGAGGCAGGACGCCACGGTGTTCTTGAACATGCCTGACACTCTTTACATTCACTACTGTCACTGTCCATTTCTATGTCCCATTCTCTGTCCCCGTCCCCGTCCCTGTCTCTGCCCCATTTTTGTCCCCATCCCTGTCTTTGTCCCCATCTGTCTCTGTCCCTGCTTATGGCCTCATCTCCTTCTCCTTCCCTGTCTCTGCCCCTGACTGTGACTCATGTCTCTGTGCCTGATGCGCTCTCTGTCCCCGTCTCTGTCTCTGCCCCTGACTGTGACTCATGTCTCTGTGCCTGATGCGCTCTCTGTCCCTGTCCCTGTCTCTGCCCCTGACTGTGACTGTCTCTGTGCCTGATGCGCTCTCTGTCCCCGTCCCCGTCTCTGCCCCTGACTGTGACTCATGTCTCTGTGCCTGATGCGCTCTCTGTCCCCGTCCCCCTCGTGTGGCAGGCTGATGGCAGAGTGGCGCTTCTCCCGAGGCGTGGAGGAGCAAACCAAAGCTTTCCTGGACGGCTTCAATGAGGTGGTGCCCCTGCAGTGGCTGCAGTACTTTGACGAGAAGGAGCTGGAGGTGAGGATGGGGGGGGGGGGGGTTGGTTATAAGGCGGTGCGCCGTCGCTGTGGTTCTGTGGGGGATGGGCTGTGGATTTGTGGCCCCCCGTGACGCCCCCCCCCCCCCCATGTGACCGTGGTACAGGTGATGCTGTGTGGCATGCTTGAGGTGGACCTGCAGGACTGGCAGAGAAACACCGTGTACCGGCACTACACCCGCAACAGCAAGCAGGTTATCTGGTTCTGGCAGGTACGGGTCGCCCTTGCCGGACCGCACAGGGTGCGTGTTTACCGTTCCACTGTAAGCGAGAGCACTGTCGCCCCCCCCCCCCCCCCGCAGCTTGTGAAGGAGGTGGACAATGAGGTGCGCCTGCGGCTAATGCAGTTCGTCACGGGGACCTGCCGCCTGCCACTAGGGGGCTTCGCTGAGCTCATGGGTGAGTCCAGGAATCGTGTGACCTCCTGACCAGCAGGTGGCGCCTGACGAACGGGGTTCAGTGATGTGCCGGTTTGTGCCGTAGGGAGCAATGGGCCCCAAAAGTTCTGCATCGAGAAGGTGGGCAAGGAGACCTGGCTGCCCCGGAGTCACACCTGGTGAGGGACCCGTATGTGTGTGTATGTGAGTGTCTGTGTATCTGTGTGTGAGCATGTGGTCCAGGTATGCATTACATTGCGGGGACCAAATGTCCCCAGAATGTGATAAAATTTTGATGTTAATTTTATTTTGCATGTGTAGCGAATCTCCCAGCCCTCGGGCAGTGGGGCCTCATTCTGCAGCCTGCAGTGGGCGGGTGGATCAAATTTTTTTGGTCCCCACAAGGGGAAAATCAATTTCCTGAAAATCTGTGACTGCAATCAACAAACTGAAAATGCCAAAGTCTTGTATTTTGTTTAGTTACTTATGGTTAAAGTTAGAGCTGGGTTAGGAGTAAATCGTTTGGATTAGGGTTTTGTCCATAAAAATGAATGGAGAGTCTTATAAATATGAATACAAACATGTGTATGTGTGTGTGTGTGTGTGTGTGTCTGTCTGTCTGTCTGTGTGTGTGTGGGGTCTGAGGAATCACTGCCTCTTTCCTGTCTTTCAGCTTCAACAGGCTGGATCTGCCGCCCTATAAAAGCTTTGAGCAGCTGAAGGAGAAGCTGCTATTCGCCATAGAAGAGACTGAAGGGTTTGGCCAAGAATAGCCAGAGTTCATGTCCACGACGGCGTTCAGCTCCACGACGGCGTTCAGCTCCACGACGGCGTTCAGCTCCACGCCGCTGCTGTGGAGAGTCCCTCTATTACCCAGCCAAGCTAAAGGAAAACAAAAAAAACAACCAAAAACAAAGTGCACAGATAACTACTAAAATATATATATATATATATATTTATATATATATATATATGTATATATATATGTGTATGTAAAAAAGCTATTTTATCATTAAGGAGTTATTTTGTCCTTATTTTGCATCATTTCCCTCAGCGAATCCCCTCATTTCTCCCTCATGAATATGCAGCAGGAATCTCAGCTTTTTCTCTTTCGAAAGAGTCTTTATTTTTCATTTTGGCTGGTTTTTAAAAGAAGATCCAGAAAGATGGATTTTATAGTGAATTGTATGAAGAGCTCTAGTTTTATAGAGCTTCCAAGTGACTCTGCTCCGGGCCCGTTCCAGACCCGCCTGGATCCCCATATCGCTGCCTTCTCTGTGTGTGCATGGCTGGCCGTAGAATCACGTCGGAACCGACTCGGACGCCATCATCAGAGCGTCCGAGCCCCTCCTGTAACAGCGCCGGCCCCCTTCTCTAAGTCCACAGCGCCATCCATTAGCCTAGCGCGTTAGAGCCCCCTCTGGGCCGGTCCCGTCTCTGTGGTCGGCATACCAGCCCCCTCGTTCTGCTTCTCCCCCCTCCTACTGCACGCGAGATTATGATTCATGGGGGGAGGGGGGGGGTCATCCAACCAGGGGGAGTTCCTTTAAGGAGTATAGAGCCTAGCAGTCCATTGAGACGTCCATCTAGAGCAGGGGTTTCAAAGATCTGGCCCGTGAGGCGGTTCTATCCAGCATGTGATACGTTTCTATAACATCGCTAAATCTGTCCCGCAAATCGATGTTTCGTTTTCTACAGAGTTTAAAAACAACGTAACTTCGTTCTTCTAATCAGCGGCTGTGAAATCGACATCAAGCTTGGTAAATTTTGCCGTCACCTGGCTGGCTGAAGCTAAAGACGTCCTAGCTAGCGTGGTCTCCGTGTTGCTTGAGTTTGAGACCCCTGGTCTAGACCCTAAGTGGCCAGCGACCCACCGCCCCATGACCAGCATCATAACCGAAGTGGTGACCACGGTCCTCGGCACTCCCCACCCCCCCGCGGACCGAGCTCCCACCGGCCGGCGCTCCGCGTCTCCGGACCGCCCGCTGAAAGCCATATCTCGTACTTGGGCGGTTCCCCGTTCGCTTTCCGTTATATCCAAGGAAAGGCGCTACACTGGGCTCATAGCAACTCCCCAGACTGATGAAGTGTACCTCTAAGGGCACGGCTGGATGGATGTGGTTTTTCTGCTGAGAATCATCAAAAGAGAGCAATTAAAAATGAATGGGTAGAATCTCCACGTCTGGGTGTGTAAGTGTGTGATCCTCTGTGTGATTCTCTTCCCGCCGCTGGCTGGTTTGCGGTTAATGGAAAAAGTGATATACTGACACTCCCTGGGTTACAATGGTCCGTGTTACGATATTTCAGCTTTACGAAGGGTATGATTATTAAATGAAATACATGAGATATTCAACACTTTATAATAAAAAGGCTTTGTGTTAATAATTTTGCCCAACTGTAGGCTAATGTTATAAGCATGTTTAAGGTATGCTAGGCTATGATGTTTGTTAGGTTATGTGTACTATGTTAAAATGCGTTTTTGCTTTACGATATTTTCGATATTTATTGGAACGTAAACCCATCATAACCCTGGGAGCGTCTGTATACGTATATAACAGAGACCTTGTTGGGCAGGGGGCTTCTCAGAGGGACACAGAAACAGGAAGTCTGTTATGACGTTAACATGCTCCAAGCAGGGACTGGTGATGTCATCTTTCTGAAGACTAGGGGTGACATTCCCTCTCGGGCCTGAGTGGGGCAGCACTGAGCAGAGCTCCCGCATAAAGGGGCTACAGTGCGTATGGTGGTTGGAGGAGCGGTCCTGTGTCTGCTCCTGACAGCTTTAGCCGCCCCCACCTCGGTTCATTGCCTCCTGCTGGATCGAGGTAGCTTGACAGTAAATCCCACCCAGCGTGTGTTTGTCCCATATCCCGCCCTCCCCCCTCCCAGCACTAACTCCTCCAAAGGAAGGTTGGTGTTTCTCATGTCACCAGGGGTGTGGGTGAGGACCCACTGACTCCTCAGCGGGGCTCGAAAAACCACGGGACAGGAAGGAGACAGACCCCAGGAGGCCTCGGGAGAAGGTGTCCATGTGTCTTCGGCACAAGATCTAACTGAATCTCTATTCAGCAGGCTTTTGCCTCCAGGCGGTGGTGAGACCACCATCAGGTCACAGGGGAAAAAAACAGTTGTCCTGTGTAGTTTACATTATATCCACCAGGTGGCAGATGTGCTCACTGAAAGTGTAAGAGGCTGCAAAAGTGTATCTCGGTCTCCATTCATGGAAAGCATACACAGGACTCGATTCTGATTTGAGATCAGATTTGACGAGCGTCGTAACACTATTCATCCATCCTTCAATCGTAACTGCTTATCCTGCTTGTTTGCAGGGTTACACGTTATTCCGTCCTCGTTTAAATTGTTATGTAAAGCAGAGCAGAGCCATACTGACTTATTGAAACGCTGAGCTTCTTTTAGTCCACTGACACATCTAGGGGGATGGTTTTCTCCTCGCTGCCTTCAGCTCAGTCTGCATCTGCATCTGCATATCTCTAGTGTAAAAAAAAAAAAAATAGTACTCTGAATCTGTGCCAACGGAACATGTACGTGTTTGTAAATTTTACAGATAGATCAGCAAAGCCCTTTGAGAAGGAGCTTTTAGCTCCTGGTGTTTGTAAGTTACTCCAGTGGCAATTTAAGGAAAAATAGTATTGTATGGATTATGTGTTGGGTTCACATTCTAGTAATTGGAATGTGTTTTCTGTTGAATCTCAGAGACACTACATCATAAAATACGGACCTGAGACGGGCCCAGTCTTACAAGTAAGCAGAATGGGAGGTTCTGTCGTGCCCAGATCTCCAGCAGCAAAGCCTGTCTCTATTTCCTATGGATCTCCTGAACAAAAAAACCCAGAGCCTTAACCTACAGCCTGAGGTTTTACCCAGGTGGTTGAGGTTAAGTACCTGGTTTAACCCCCTCGACCTTCTGGCTGTACATTCACTGTCAAGCTGAGCTAGCGAGTGGGCTTCAGACAAAACTCAGTGTCTGTTGGGAGCATCCATTCTGCATGGCCACTAAGGCCTCCCCAAGGTTTGTACTCCTGCCATTTTAAGCATTCCATTGCAAATCCATCACAAACAGGAAGCTTTGCTCGATGATCATTCAGCTGACTGCTTCATGGAGTGTGTAAAGTTCTGTTTGCATCCTGTTCGGCTGTTTTACACGTCATGTAGGGTTCCGTTTGCCCTGTTTTCGTGTGTCAGGTACAGATGTATTCTAATACTCATGACTTATTTAAACCTGTTTTTTTAAGTTGTTGCCCTGCTTTGCTTTGCCTTTTTGGTCCTCTGCATGCCTGTTTTGTTTTTTTTTTTTTTTTTTTATTTTATAATCCTCCTGTCCTCTCCTGTTCCATCCCGTCCTGTCTCGCTCCGTACTGTTCCGGCCTCC